TAAAACTTACGTTTTTAGTGGGCTTATGGCAGGCAGAACAGGGCGGGCCAAACAGTTTCTCGTGACAGGGTTTGCAGTATTGCTTATTGTCCTGAACTTGGTAATTGTATGCCTTGAGAATAGTGTCGCAATTGCAACACGTGAAGCACTCCGGGTGCCACATCTCATCACATGCTGTCACCAACTGTTGTCATAAACAATACATCAAATCTTCAGTCAATACAGTATTTAGCAAACATTTCAATGATTTATTGTTTAATAGAAATTTATTTTCATAACTAAAAGTTATTATTATCAGTAATATTGAGGACATAATAAGGATGAGGATTTTGTTTATTATTTTATTTTGTGCTAAATTTTTAGTTAAATTATTCTTAAATAAATTGGTTGAAAATCTAATAATTGTGTAATTAATATTTTTATAACATTCAGTTTGATAATAATCATGATGAAATATATCTTGAAGAGCTAATAATAGAGATTACAATATAATTGTAATATTTGTTTTGTTTGTAGAAATATATTATGTAATTATGTAAAGATTTATTCTATAATTTAAACCCACTTTTGTTTTTTTAATGAGAAAAGAAATCTACAGAATATATAATTAGATGTCTTAATAATTAGCCATATCTTGTATCACTCGCTAATCAACATTATATAAAACTAGATCATATACTTTCAATTCTATATTGAATTTCACATCTTTTGGGACACAAAACTAAAAAATTGCTGACAAATATCACACTTTTCAAAAGTTATTAATCATTTAAAAATGGTTTTCATTGTAATAATAATAATAATCTATTTTTTGCTTTTTCTCATTTAAGATAAATATAGTTTTGAGTTCTCAATAGATCTCAGTTTTCTGCGAAATTCTGTGATATTTCTTATAAAAGAGGTTTTTGACAAAAGCTTTAATGAGCGTGAGATGAGACGATCGAGTTTTGTATTAAATTATACACTATTTATATATAATTTAAATTGAAATGAAAAAATTCGTAACACTTTTAAGATTATAAAACGAAACTAGATTTTGTTAAAGAGTTAAAACCTACTGTAAAGAGCTATAAATACTAAAAACAATTATAAAGTCAATTATACACGTGTTTTAGGTTTGATAACCACTTATGGTTGTGTTAATCAACACATTTATGTTTCATTAAATTAATACAAAAGTTACTGACAGGAAATATTTTTGTTGAAAAATAAGTTATTATTAATAACTAAAAATTTGTATGGATTTTTAACAAATAATTAAATGCTAATTAAATGTATTATTTAACCATCTAATTAATTATTGAACTAACAACATGAATATTTATAAAAGTTAACTATTTAGTTTACAAAAACTTGGTTTAGATCAAAATTGTTCATAAGTCCCGAATAATGTTAAAGTTATACAGTATTTTTGAATAGCTTTTATAAACGATTAAAATGTTTAGAATAGAAGTCAATATTTAAAATTTTTTATAAGAACTAATACAAAAATTATTCTTAAATAAAATTTAATAAGTAATTTTATTTTTATTTGTATTTTTATTTAATACGATAAAAATCTATTAAAACAAATAAAATGCTAATTTCTAACAAGATTTATGAGATTATAAGAAATTGTATGACAACTGACATAATTATAATAATTGATTAACTATAAAATGATTGCTTTAATTTTGATAGATTAGTGAATATGAATAGTGTATAATTGGGTGCAATACAGACCGATCCGATGATATACATGCCACAGGCAATACAGGGTCCCTTCACTGGCGGTGGTGTGTATTTGTAGTCGAGGTGATGGCTGTGGTATTTCATATCCTTTGGTTCCTCGATCTTATCCTTAGGCGAAGGAGTTCTG